CTCATTTTACTTGACATGATACATACAGACATTAAGGACGATTCTCTGTGGAGGGATGTGAACACCACTATACTGTCTATCCATGTTATTCTAATTAAAAAAGAAACAAAACTATCGTCCTGTCTCACTGCTTCACGCGGACTATAACGTTTGTGCTAGCATGTGAACACACTGGCTCAGATTAGGTCTGTCCAGCACGGAGGTGGGCTGATCGATGGCAAGTGCTATAGCTCCAGAGGACAGGAATGATCAGGGGGGAGGGACCTGCTGTCTCGGCCCGGAGTAAGATCACGTGCTCTGTTTGTCAAACAGGACCTGTACTTAACAGTGTTATTTAACTGCCCTGTGGAGGGCGGTCAAATTATAATGTCATGCTTCTTCTTCCCAACCATATCAATCCAAGCTGGCTGCTCACAGCTCTGTGCCTCTCCCCCACCCCAGTGTGCTTCTGCAGCAGCTCCCTGACTCCTTCCTCACATGTGAGGGAATTGAACACATTCAGCCTCACTGTCTGGGTGTTGTAAGACGAGTTTGTCAGTTTATACGTGACAAGGTTAATTTTGTGTATAATGCAGGTCTTAATCTTCAGTGTACAGAGGATCATATGTTCGTTTGGCTGTAAATAGTCTGCTGTAGATTACGTTAGGTAAAGGGGATCTCCAATTCCTGTGTAACATTCTGCAGTCTCAGTGTCTGGTAATGAGGTTTCATACTCTTCACAGACCAAAACACCACCAGACAGGTCTCTCACAACACTTGGGTCAGTTTTAGTTAGACTCTTTTGCACACGTTTGTTATTGTTATCAGTTCACTTTTCTCCCATTAAAATTAATTATTAATTACATACTTTTTATCCAGCCAGCAGATATATCACCCAGCAGCTCTAAACTGACTACCAACTGGAGCCCAGCAGTGTGGGCCTGGCCAGTACCTGGAGGGGAGACTCCTGGGAGAGCTGAGGCTGCTGCTGGGAGAGGTGTTACTGGGGCCAGCAGGGGGTGCTCACCCTGCGGTCTGTGTGGGTCCTAATGCCCCAGTATAGTGACGGGGACACTAGACTGTAAAAAGGTGTCGTCCTTCAGATGAGACGTAAAACCGAGGTCCTGACTCTCTGTGGTCATGAACAATCCCAGGGTGTCTCTCGAGAAGAGTAGGCAGTTATCCTGAATTTCGCCCCTCTGCCTCCAAACTGTGGCCTCCAAACTGTCCCCATGTATGGTTGGCTTGTGCTTGCCCTGCGACGGACTGGCGCCCTGTCCATTTCTCGAACACATCAGCCATTTCTAGGGGTTCAGTGGGCCCCTTTCAGAGGTGCTGTGCTCTGCTCACCTGCTTGCGATCGATATTCTATCCTCTTTACAGAACTTCACACCCGAGACTTCCTGTTGTGTCGGAAATCGGGTCATGGCCCAGATACTGCACCTTGAGGATAGTTTTCACAGCCGAGTCGCGGTGCTTTAAAACCGCGAAACCCTGATCTCGCCCACATCCGCCAACATCTGAACGTATTTGTCATGATGTGATTACTGGGGCTTTGGGGAAATGTAGTTTTCTACATAGTAGCAGTTTAAAATAATGTTTTCCAGTGCAATGTCAGCAACATGTCGTAGGACAAAGGTTCTAGGCATTTTATGGTTCTTCTAAGCCCTATGGAGTCAGCATTAAATGACAATCAGACCAAGACTGAATTAGACCACATCAAAATGCATGCAATGGCACAGAGCAAACTAAGTCCAAGTTAATTGATCTAAATAATTCCAAATCTGAAGAGCCCGTAGCATTGGAAATGTGTGTGAAGAGAGCAGTGCGTGGTGCTGAGGAGGACGTGTCAGAGATGTGAGATCTGACATGTGAAAGCAGAGGAATACTGTGATGCCGATCTCACAGAGGTGTCGCACAGACTGCAGGAGACGGCATCATCTGGAAATCGGGAGGATTTGTCCGAGGTGTGTTTCGGCTCTGTCGGCGTCAGCCCCTGTTTCTGGGGAAGAGTGGAATGAGCTCTCGGGGTTCAAGTTAGAGAGATTACGATCTCCCGCTACTCCGCGGGGCAGGAAGCACCTCGTGTCGCTTGCTGTCGGCCGTCTCTGGAGATGACAAGCTCGAGGTATCTCGCAGCTCTCAGAATCACAATAACAGTTCACACCTTTCAGGGCCCAAAATCTCTACTGCAAAAAACAACTGAGGTCAGAATTCACAATCAAACAGAGCCGAGGTCAAGCGACAGAGAAAGCTGAACACGTTTTTTTTCTTAATGAGGAATAATTTCAAAGTGCATTTCTCAAGTTAGCAAATTCCAGCGACAAACATTTCTACAATGAGATTCTAACGTTTCAAAAATCTAAACTTTCACAAAACATAAAAGAATATAAATGAACTGGTAAGTTGTAAATGTGTAAGTAACTGCAGGGTGAAAGCAAACGAACTTCTGGTTAGTGCTACTAACACAGGTACTGTATATGACATAACTCTGGAAAATATGATTTAACATGAATTAATCTACAAGGAGTAGCCAATGTAGGTGTACCTAATGTACAAGATGTACCCCATGTTCCTATAGTACAAGGTGTACTTTGAATGTGGAGAAGTATGTCTTAGTAGAAATTATAATAAAAAAAATTACATATATTTACTAAATACATATATATATAATATTTATAGTGCCCCTTATTTTTATTGTAAACCCACTATATTATTTAAAATATATAGTACTTGAAACTCACTATATTATTTAAAATAACAATTGCATAGTGTCTTACAGCTGATTGAACATTTGCCTGAGCAAGGTACATTAGTGAAGAAGAGTTTTTATCAATGACTTTGTCTATTTTAGGCTCAGATATATATATATAATGATCTAAATCACTTTGTTACAGTAGAACTGGACAGAAATGCTGGACAGGACAGGACACACACCCTGGACAGGACGCCAGTCCAGCACAGGACACACACACACACCCCCTGGACAAGACGCCAGTCCATCACAGGACACACACACACCCCCTGGACAGGACGCCAGTCCAGCACAGGACACACACACACACACCC